TGTTCACTAATTTCCTGCCGAAGTTTTTATGCAGACATCTCTTTTTTCTTCAATCTCCAAATCTTTGTTGTCAGCAAGATACACCTTCTCGAAATTTTCAAACTTAAAATTTCTAAACAACTCTTTATTTGGAGACAAATGAAAAGATGCACCTGATCCAAAATCCAGGATTCAATCAGGCTATCCACACTGAAGATTAGAGCATCCCCGATGTCTTCTGGTGAATGTATAGAATCATCGTCATCCTCTAATTTGTGATTCTGCTTTCTCTTTGTACAATATGTCCGAAAGTGATCTTTTTCAACACAACTCCAACACTTTACGTTTGGTTTGTTTGGAGATTTTTCTCAGTTCTTGATTTTGATCGCCCATTGTTTGGGCCCTTTAATTTACTTCTTCCCCCTTCGATCAACATTGAGAGAATTACCAGATGAATCTCTGATTTTTTGTTTGCGAATACTTTCGCTGAGAACTACATCTCAAATTTCATCAAACTTCAGTTTATCAGATCCTCGTGAACTGCTGATCGCAGCAACAACAGTATCCCACGACTCAGGTAAAGATGACATCAAAATCAATGCCTTAATTTCATCTTCGAAATTAATATCCACCGAATTTAGTTGACTTGTAATCATATTGAATTCGTTTATATGACCAGCAACAAATCTACCTTCAAACATTTGTAGATTAAATATCCTTTGCATCAAATACACTTTGTTCATAGTCGATGGTTTCTTGTACATATTCGACACCGCCTTCAACAGATCTGACGTTGTCTTCTCCTTGATGATGTTAAACGCCACGTTTCTAGGCAGCGTCAATCGGATCAACCCTAAGACCTGAGATCCTTGAGCTTCAACTGCTCCGCAGTCATAGTATCCGGCTTCACCCCCAACAGGTGTTCGTGAAGGCCTTTTTGGTATAGACAATCTTCAATCTGTATCTTCCAGAAACTTAAATCGGATCCACCAAACTTTTCAATTCCAATCTTTGAAATTTCCATCTTCATAGATCGTGGTGAATTTTGCCTCGCTCTGATACCAGTTGTTAGGCAAGAAGTAGCGTGAGAAGATTCTTCAGGTAGATAGTTAGAGTGTCATGCAGTTGGCGAGGAACCCGATCTATCATTCAAAGACAAAACACAAAAGATGATATCATTTCACTCGGAGGTTAGTGGAAGATGGTAATGTGTTTGGAGAAGATAGAGGGTGCAAGAAATCCAGCAAACATTTTGGGTTGATGTCGGAACACTGAGATTGTGCAAAGCCTCAATTGGTATGGTGCAAGATTTGGAATGAAATTCTTGGTTAATTGGATCAGTCTCTAATTGGGAGATTGTTGAAGTTGACTCGATAGTCTCCAATTGGGAGATTGTTGGAGTTAACTGGATTAGTCTCCAAGTGGGAGATTGTTGGGATATAGAGCGTGATGCATAGATATATATTTGAAAGATATTTCGTAAAGATAGATATATATGGTAGATTTTTGGTAAAGATTTAATAGATATATATTTGGTAGATTATATCTCGTTTAAATCTTTGAAAGTTATATTTAGTAAATTGAAACCATAAATATACCCATTAGGCAGTGCTCTCAAAATGTACTTTTCTTCATTCCTTGTATTCTCTTTTGTTGTACATACCTGAAGAATATTCCTCCTTGAATTCTCTCTCCTATTCTTTATGTTCATCTTGATCGAGTAGGTGCATTAAGTGATCCTAACAATTCATGGAGGGATGAATCAGTTATCATATATTTAATCTTATTAATTAATTTTTTTTATTATCATTATTTTTTTTTATGGTTGTTATATCATAAGCCCAAAGAGGACAATATCTACTAGCAATGGGGTTGGGTAGTTACAAATAGTATCAGAGACAGACACCGTGCGATGTGCTAGCAAGAAGGTTGTTCCCCGAAGAAGGTATGACACGAGGCGATGTGCCAGTAACGACGTTGGGTATCAAAGGGGGTGGATTTGGTAGGGGTTCCACATCGATTGAAGAAAGGAACGAATGCAAGCGAGAACGCTGGGCTTTAAAGGGAGGCGGATTGTGAGATCTCACATCGGTTGGGGAGGAGAACAGAACACCCTTTATAAGGATGTGAAACCTTTTCCTAGCAGACGCCTTTTAAAAAAACTTGAGGGGAAGCCAGAAAGGGAAAGCTCAAAGAGTACAATATCTGCTAGCGATGGCTTGAGCCCGTACATTTATACTCATACTTCTCTAGTAAATGAGGGTCGACGAGTGGGCTGTCTTATGACTAAGGGCATCAGCGACCATGTTTGCCTTTCTAGGGTGGTATTGTATATCGTAATTCTTCACCAGTCCTAACCACCTTTTTGCCTCATGTTCACCTCTTTCTAGGTGAAGAACTATTTCAAACTCTTATTGTTGGTGTAAATTTGGGTTTTCTCTCCATACAAATAGTGTCACCAGATTTTTAATGCGAACACTAATGCGACGAACTCTAAGTCATAGGGTAGTTCTTATCGTATTTCTTTAATTGACGGGATGCATATGCAACGACTTTGTCATGTTGCATCAACACACATCGTAGTCCTTTCTCAGAAGCATCATTGTAGATCATGTATCCCTCTAAGCTCTCGGGTACCGTGAGCACTGAGGCTATTACCAAACTTTGTTTTAGGTCTTGGAAACTTGCCTCACACGCATCGTTCCATGTAAATGGTATGCCCTTCCTCGTTAGCTATGTAAGTGGCAAGGATATCTTAACGAAGTCCTACATGAATCTTCGATAGTACCCAGATAATCCTAGAAAACTCGGTATCTTTGTAACTGTAGTTGGGCATTCTCACTTGGTAACCTCTTCGATTTTGGTTGGATCTACGAATATTCCATCCTTTGATACCACATGTCCCAAGAATGAGACTTGTCGCAGCCAAAATTCGCATTTGGAGAACTTGACGTACAACTTATTCTCTCTTAGGATGGTTAGAACTTTTTCGGAGGTGCTCTTGGTCCATTTTCGAGTATACTAGGATGTCATCTATGAACAAGATAGCTTGGTAGTCGAGTAAAGAAAAGAGAAAAACTGAACCTCAAACCTTTGACTGATTGAACGAGTTTACTGTGAAAGAAAGAAGGGAGCCGAAAGAAAGAAGAATTCTCCTTTACAGTGAAAGAAAGAGTAAATGAATTAGCTACTGAACCTGAAGGAAAGACTGAAGCTCGATTAAATCGACTTTACAGTTCAATCAGGGGGAATCAACGTTCATTATCCTGGACTCCTCTCCTTATTTATTCCTTCAACCCCGAACAGTAACCAAGGTCTCACTGCTTATCCCCTTTCCTCTGCATTATCCTTAACATGTCCAAAAATTCCTTGAATGTTCAGTTCTTTAATTCCATAAAAACAGTTAGAGCATTGGTGAAGCTAAACTACATCACTACAAACTTGTAGTGACCGTATCTTGTCCTAAATGTTATTTTTGGTACATCGTTTCTTTAATCTTAATTTGATGGTACCCTAACCAAAGGTCTATCTTGGAGAATACTGTCACCTCCCTAAGTTGGTCAAATAGGTCTTCTATGCGAGGCAAAGGTATTTATTCTTTATTGTTATCTTATTTAGTTATCTATAATCGATTCTCAGGCGCACCCCAAGGGGATACATTAGGTCGAATGAAGCCTTTGTCCAATAGTTCTTGTAACTGCGTCTTTAGTTCTTTCAACTCAACTGGCGTCATGTGATAAGATGCTTTGGAAATAGGCCCAGTTCCCGGGTCGAGTTCTATGGCAAAGTCTACAGCTTTGGAAGGGGATATTCTTGGTAGGTCTTCTGAGAAGATGTCTAGAAATTCGTTCACTACCGGTACGATGTCTAGTGTCTTTTCCTTCCTCTTACACCTGCGACACATGCTAATATTATCCAACCCTCTTGTTGAACTAATCTCTTAGCTTTCATCATTGAGACTACCTTTGGGGTAGTCCCGGAGCACAGTCTATACTAACACAAAGCATGAGACATTAGTAACGACTATGAGTAGGTAGAAATTTAGGATCGTTATATCAATAATGCAACAATAATTAAAATTGTTATGTTAAAGAAAAAGTTAGAAAACACAAAATTAAAATTCTAAGAATTTATTAAACATTTCTTTTAAAAATTTTAAAACATGTTAGAACACAACGTTAGCGTGAGTCTACCAAGTAGTTCATACACTTCCTTCGTCCCCATTTATCTAACGGAGACTGAGGTCTCGCTCCACTTCCTCTTCCATTCCCAACGAAAATGTATGCCCATTTGACCCTATATTGTTTTAGACGAGAAATTTTTTAATATATTAAAAACTAAAAATAAACTTGAGTCTATATCTTATTAGGCAATAATTACTAAAATGGTAACCTAACAAGTCATAATTAAATAAAAAGAAACAAAAATTAATTAATGTTAAAAGTTACTAATTTAGTCTATTAATTTTTTCTAATGGACTAAATTACATATTTATCCGCTGAAAATATTAGAAAATTTCAATAATTGTTTCGATAAAAAATATATATTTTTTAGGGATAATTTTTTAACATTACATTATTCAATTATTTATTATTTATATAATAATAAATTTTTATAATATAAAAAACTGTGTGACTTGCTCGTTGAAATAGATTATAATAGCGAAAAGCTTCGCTGTCGGACGTCATTTGCATTTCCAAAAGTTTTTTCGAATCCAGTTTTTTGATATAGGAGTGCGCTCTCTTGGAACGGTTTGATCATTTAATTTTAATTTGTTTTTAAAAATCTATTAAATTAAATTTTATATCTATTAAAATTATAAGATTTTATTTTTTGTTTTTAAAAAATCTTAAATATATTAAGAATCATTTAAAAAAAAAAAATATATATATATATATATATCACTAATTCTTAACCATAATCAGTTAACCTAACCCCACATGGTTTCATAAGTTTCCATAAATTCTTTGGAAAAAGGAAAATCGGGAAATTAATAATATTAATATCATTTCTCACCAAACCTTTCTCGAACGTCCGACTTTCTTCCTCTCCTCCTTACCCTTATCTCTCTCTTTGCTCTGTAAATTCTCTCATGGCGACGGTTCTCAGAACTCCATTTTTTCAGGCAACTCCTCCGGCAACTGTATCCACAATTTCTTCATCCAAATCCACCCTAAAACCCTTATCTGTATCCTTTAGAACCTCTCACTCTACCATTTGTTGCATCAATTCCTCCAAGTTTTCACTTCGTCCTCGTTCTATCCGGTTCCCGAAGCTCGCCTCGTTTTCTTCCTCCGGTGAAACGGAAATTAGCGAGGTCGAAGAGGAAGTTCGTGAATCTGAGGCTGAGGTATGCTTAATTCTTCTTCTTATTTGGGGCTATTTTACCGTTTGGTTGTTGTATCTTTACCGGACGATTGTAGTTTGACTCTTTAGTTGATTAGGTTGGATAGTGTTGGAGGATATTGTTTTATGCAGAGGAGTTTCTAGGATCGAGTTGTTATGTCTAATATTATCAATTAGTGCGAATTTGCCTCTTGGATTGCTGTTACGAAACAGTTTTGTAAGAAGAAATGCGGTATTCTGGCATTATCTTCAATTCATTGTCTATTTCTGTGTTCTAATTATTCTACTTGAATTATCTATGAAGTAAGACATTTGATTCTCAAATCTCACCTTGAATTTATCCACTTGACATTTCAAATTTTTGTGTAAACTAAAAAAAATTGAGTATGAAAGCAGTTTTCGTAGTTCCGGGGCCATTATTCGAGTTTGGTTTAATCATTCCTCTATGTTCTATGCAGCTTTTTGGATACTACAATAATATGATCAAATGATGGGACCATAAGCTCCATTTTCAAGACTAAAATTTAGGTGTGTTGAAATGAAACATGGTCCATGAAGCTTAAACTATGCTCTTTTAAACCTGCAAGTATGGACTATTGATTTTGTTTATTAAAATTTGAAGATTTTGGATATTGGATGCTTAGAGAGTGTAATATCTTCTGACCATGAACAATAAATTCACACAGCACGGATTTTGGTTGTTTTAATTAAGTTTATACTGAAATCATGTCATTGTTCTTTCTTGTTGCTCATATATTTATTTTACAGGACTCTTCTGTTAGTTATACTGGTGTGGAAGATGCTGCAAGTGATAGTGATATAAATGATGATGCAGAAGTTAATGCTGAGGATGTAGCTCAGTCAGTTATTATATCAGCACTTCAATCCTATAAGCAGGCTTTAGCAGATAACAATGGAGCTCAAATAGTTGAAATAGAGTCATATCTGAAGTCTATCGAAGATGACAAGTTCGCAGTTGAAAAGAAGTTGGAATCCCTAACCGAAGAACTCTCTGCAGAGAAGGTTCGAATTTTGAGGATCAGTGCCGACTTCGATAATTTTAGGAAGAGAACAGAGAGAGAACGTCTTTCATTGGTGAAAAATGCTCAAGGGGAAGTGGTAGAGACGTTATTGGGTGTCCTGGATAATTTTGAGAGAGCTAGGGCACAGATCAAAGTGGAGACAGAGGGAGAAGAAAAGATCAATCAGAGTTACCAGAGCATCTATAAGCAGTTCAATGAGATTTTGGGCTCATTGGGTGTAGTTCCTGTTGAGACAATTGGGAAACATTTTGACCCATTGGTGAGTTCTTGCTTCTTGTCATCTTATTGAATTTGCATCTCATGTACCTCATTTTCCCTTTATTCATCAAAGTTAAGTCACCATTAATCAGTCAGTGGTGCTAATTACTGAACTTGTTAATAATTGATGAACCTGTTTTCTAAATCAAATTGTTTAAATTGTTTTGTTCTTAGAGTATCTGCACATGACGGATTTATTTAAGCAACTTGATGAGTAAAATGGTGGTATTTAGTTAATACCGACTCTAGAAACTAGGAAAGTGTAGGGTCTTTCCTTGCAGACCTTACAATCATTACTGGATGAACTTTCCTGAAATCTGAATTTTGAATCTCAAATATGAATATGGTATGAACTCACCTGTTGGGATTCATTTATTTTTGTAGATTTTGACCATAGGAAAACTAAGACTTGTGATCTTTTTCTCTCATTTTTGTTTTGCACTGATAATGATAAGAGGGTAAACCATAATTTATTTCATTGTGTTCATTGCAAAAAGTATGTGATGTAAATTATCTGTGGAGTAACCTGGATCCATCCATAAGAAGTGATGCATCTTATAATGGGTTATTTTTCATGGAAAAGGATCAAAGAAGAGAAAGTTACTTTGGAAGTGTGCTATCTTGGATCCGTTATCGGTTTTATGGTTGGAGATCGATAAAAGAATTATTGAAGATAAATTTGAAGATCTAGACAAGGTTCAGAGTGAATCTGATAGTGTACATTGTTGGTGCAAAAAGGTAGAAGACTTTACTAGTTCTACCTCTCAGGCTATTTGTTCAAAAGGTGATTTTTTGTCGGTAAATTTATACTTCAAGGAGGCCTTGTCCTCCTGTAATATTGTAACTTATTCAAATTGTTATTATCAATGACAAGGCTACTATTTCTGTCTGATATTGTGATTTTTCGACTACCTTCGATCCGAGGTGATGTATTTTTCTTTTTCGAAATCTATTCGATTTGCATTCTAAACTAGCATGACATGATCAAACATGGAACTAATCAGGGTTCTGCTGTTTAATCTCTCTTTTTGGGGATCAAGTTTGGTAAGTTGAAACTTCTTTAATCAATTTCTTGCCTACAGCTTCATGAAGCAATTATGAGGGAGGACTCCACAGAGTTTGAGGAAGGCATCATACTCGACGAGTTCCGCAAAGGATTCTTGCTTGGTGAGAGACTCCTGCGTCCATCAATGGTGAAAGTATCAGCCGGTCCAGGGCCTGAAAAGTCGGATGAAGCAGCAGCATCAGAAGAACATGATTCGAGTGAAAACTCGGAGGGCTCCGAATCGGAGTCTTCTTAAAAACTCGAATGAACACAGTCCAATTTTGAATATAGTTTTTGAATCTTCTTTGTGGGTGATAAGAGATTGGAGATGGAGTTTATTGTTGTTCTTGGTTGTCAGGCTTTTGCAGGCGGAGAATTTAGATATTTGTTCTCAGGGGATAGCTTTTGACGGTGAAAAATGGTTGGTTCCGGGAAGGAAGTGTTAGTGGAATGTTGTACTTGATTTAGATATTACTATAACTTGTAGAAATGGTTGAATGTGCCTTGATGTCTGAGGTCTCCTCTGTAGGACCATATTTATTTGAAGGAAATTGAAATCACTCTCTCTTTCATTGTTATTTCTGTTCATTATTAACTTAAAAACTTCTATTAGGGAATGGATGGACTGAATAATTGTTTTCAATGTAGCTTGACCTATTTGGAGATCAGAAGTAATATTCTTATTTTCGCTATTCACGCTTGGTTAATTTGAGCATAATTTAGTAATTTAGTTGTTGTGTGTTATGTGATATGATGTATGTTTGATCATAAAAATAAATGTTTTGGCATGTATATTATGTTTGATGATTGAGAAGATTGTGGTAAGATTACACATTGTGTGAATCGAGTAACCAGCCACTGAACCCAAACAATAATACTCTAGGGGTACTAGATATGACCGCAATGATGGAAGTGATGCAATCTTTGATATAGACAGTTGGGCAAATGACTCAAATGATCTCAACCTTGGTGCAAAATGGCAGACAGATAGCCCAACCCAATCAGGGAAACGTCGACACGATAGAGGAAACAAGTATTTCATAGACTTCAAACGTTGAGACCTTGAAGTATTTGATGGAACGTCCTAGGACCCAGTGGCAGTTGAACTGTAGCTGTCTTTTATTAATGAGATTTTTCAATGTAAAGTGCCCATAAGAACAAAGACTGAGTTGTGCCACTTTTATTCTATGTAGCAATAATAAACTATGGTGGCAATCAGCCTCCAGAGCGATTGTCATAAATGAAAACGAGATCACCTGGACTCAATTTAAAGGAGCATTACTCCAAAAATACTTCAAACCAGTGGTGCGATATAGGAGGCAACATGAATTCCTAAGCATAGAGCAATAAGTTAGATCAATGGAGGAGTATGAATGAGAGTTCTTGTCTTTTTCTTAGATTTCGGAACGCCAACTGCATATCCAACTTTGCCTCGAGACTAGTCGAGACAGAAGAGCAGAAGGTAGAGTGCTTTTTTATGGTCTTGAGATCTAATGTTCAAGGAACGATGTCAGTGCATCCTCCACCAAACTATGCAACAACATTCTGACTAGCTGAGACACTTGACGATAGGGAATACCCATTTGAAGACACACAATCCCATCTAGGCACGACAGTTGACTGCAAGAGAAAGATGGAGCATACGCCACCTACCTCCTCCAAGGTACCACGATGCCAGGGTAAGACTAGCTTAAACCAAGAGCGCAAAATACCATAGGATTGCCCACATAGCACACCACGTGATAGTGCATTTTGCACAAACGGTGGGAAAGGTCACTCTAGATAGTGCAGGTGGCATCACTAAGCCCACTAGCAACCAACTGACCTTAAACCTAAAGTCATCCCCGCAACCGGGCCAAATATACACTACCATTTGACATGAGTTGGAAGACTTCAACATAACAGCCACCCACACCTTTATCTCTATTGACTTTGTAAAACACATAAAGGGTGGAATTAGAACGGTTATGGTACATGTTGTTCGTGAATACCCCAACAGGGGAGAGAATGGAAGCCTTCGAGAAGGTGAAGGACTGTTAAATTTTTGTGTCAAGTCACATGATGGATGTGACATTGATAGTGTTAGATATGAAAATTTTGACATCATCTTAAGAATGGAATGGTTTGCCAGGAACCATGTTTCCATTGATTGTTTTAACAAAGAAGTTGTGTTCAGACCTCTTGTCCGCCCAAGCTTCAAGTTCAAGGGGTCCATGTTGGAAATAGTCCCTAGGATAGGTCACAAAATTAAAGGCAAGGAAGATGCTCTCTCATGGTGTCTTAGGGATATTAGCTCATGTGGTGGAAATATGGCGAACTGAGGTGACTATTGACTCGGTACCAGTAGTGAGAGAATTTGTAGACGTATTGTTGGAGGATCTCTCTAATGTACCCCCAAAGCGAGACGTGGAATTTGAGATTTTATTTGAGTTAAGAACAACCCCTATTTCCAAGGTGACCCCAGTTGAACAAGAAGAATTAGAGTTGCAGATCCAAGAGCTACTAGATAAAGGCCTTATACGCTTAAGTGTGTACCCTTGGGGGCCCTAGTGATATTTGTGAAAAGAAGGACGAGTCTATATGTTTTTGCATAGACTATCTAGAGCTCAACAAAGTGAGAATTAAGAACAAGTGCCCTTTACCCTAGATTGATGTTTTGTACGATCTGTTGCAAGGAGCAATGATATTCTCAAAGATTGACTTGCGATCGGGCTACCATCCATTGAGGATTAGGAAGAGTTATATCTCTAAAAACAACTTTCCGCACATGGTATGAACTTACAAGTTTAGAGTAATGTTGTTTGGCTTAACCAACGCTCTAGCCACATTTATGGGTCTGATGAACAAAGTGTTCAGAGAGTTTAGTGTAATGTGTTATTCCCGACCAATTCAGGCCCAAGGGGTACGTATACGAGCCCGCCTGTTGGGCGCACGTGCGCGTACTTGGGCCGTGTGGAGAAGTACCATGCATCTAACCTTGTCCGAAACTGGAAAGAGTCTAGGGTCATGTTATGGTTTCTAAACGATAGATTTCATTCATGTCTTGGGTGTGATTGCATTACTAACCACTAGGGTGACTTCCTGAGTATTTTTTAAAATACTCAAGCTATGTGCTAACTTATATTTTTCAAGTAAAGATAAAGCTCTCATGCACAAATGATGAACGCTGAAAAGACTATGGAAGTCACAATAGGGCATGATAGGGCAAAAGATCACACTGAATTCCAATTAGTAGTTGATAGGTGTTTTTAATGCCGTTTGTTTTATGTTTAAAACTATGTTATATTTAATTTCGTGTTTTGAACTGAATATTTACGTCCATGACTTTATTTTAAAGGTATTTATTATGAATTTTTGCATATGTGATTAAAGCAAGCATGGGATGACATCACTAGTCACTAATTAGGTTAAGAAAACTAGGGGCGTTACATTTGGGATCAAAACCCTAGGTTTTAGATCCTGTAGATCAGCCTATGATGTAAAAGCTCAAAGATGACAATGTCTTCTAGTAGTGGGTTAAGGTTGTTACAAATGATATCAGAGTCAAACACTAGACAGTGTGCAAGTGAGGAAGATTAGGGGGTAGATTATAAGATCTCATATTGGTTGAAGAGGGAACAAACCATTCTTTAGAAACATCTTCGTAATATACGCGTTTAAAAACCTGAGCCACCCAAACTATTCTTTAGAAACATCTTCGTAATATACGTGTTTTAAAACCTGAGCCCCCAATGGGGTGGATTGTGAGATCTCACATCCGTTGTAGAGGAAACAAATCATTCTTATAAAGGTATGGAAACATCTCCTGATAGACGCGTTTTAAAACGTGGGCCTCCAAGGGAGTGGATGATGAAATTCCACTTCAGCTAAAGAGGGAACAATGCATTCCTTCTCAGGGTATAGAAACATTCACATAATAAATGTGTTTTAAAACTTTGAGGGGAAGCCCACAAAGAAGAATATAGGTTAGCTCATTCTTTGATAAATTAAATTCAATAGTCAAGTCATGTCACCTCAACATTTCATTTTAAGGTGAGGACATCAAGCTGCAAACAAGCAAAAACGAGGAAAAAGAGATTAGGAAATCAAGTGGCAGACAACCAAAACGAGGAAGAACTTACGAAAGCTTATTTTCTTACCATTCACCCTAGCTTATTTTAACGAGCCAAAGAAATAAAAATAATAAAATGTATTCATGTCGATAAGCGATCTCATATTCACTTATTAAAACTATTATAATGGTAATCAAACGAATAATTTTCAAAACATTGAAACTGTCATTAAAACAAAAACATATCGATAGAAGAGAGGCTGATATAAGCCTAGCAAATTCTATAAGTCAAAATATCATTAACAAGAGGTCAAATCTTCGAATATCTCATGCTAATGAGAGAGAGAGTATCCAGTTCAGTCACAGCCTATAGCTTTTCCTTACCATTTAAAGATACAATGCCTTGAGACTTAGTACTAGACAAGAAAGTCATAACAACTTTACTCTATTTTCATGATTGAAGGTGTGGTTTTTTTCCCCTTTTTGTCCCCTTTTTGAATTTTATTACAATGCAATTGTTAGAAAGTGACATAGAAATTGGAGACGAGGAAGATCAGATCAGATCAGATCAGATAGGCAGAACTATAGCTGATAGAAGTTAATGATGGAGAAGAAGAAGAAGAAGAAGAAGAAGATTATCTTCTTAAGAGATTGTATGCTGGCAGTTCTTTCACACTTGAGGTATCTTCAAGTTCAAGCTCACGTTCTAACTGACTTCTGGTAGACTTCAAAACATCCTGAAAATTAAAACCAAAGTTACAGAACATAAGATTAAGGCTTCTTCATTTCAACATCTATACGCTCAGAATGCTCCAACACTTACGTTGAAATCCATATAGGAAGCGCGCTTGGCAAGCCATTGAGCATCCATCAATTGGAAGGCTATACAGAACAGGTTATCAAATGCCAACTCGTCGTTCTCTAGAAGTTCTAAGAAACGGATCCCAGCTGATGAACTTGGCTTCCCTGCAACAAAATATCACTTCTATCGTTTATTAAGGGCTTGAGATTCTCGATCGAGAATGTTTGAGTGCCACCAACATACTCGAAGTATGCGATTTAACAAAGTCTTCAAATTTGCAAAAATCGAATTTCATTAATCATCTTACCTGATTGGAGATCTAACATTTGCACCAACATAAATGAAATGTTGATACCAGCGACGGCGAATGGATATTCCCACTCAGCTCTCTGACCATCTTTTTTATACAACAATCTATGGAATGACTCCTGTACAGAAATCCAACCGACCATTTCATGGACTAATCACAGATTGTATCTTATCAATTTAGCCAAAAGGAAAAAGATAATATCACTTGGTGATCTAATTAACACGATTCACAAAGCAGGACCGACTAGCATGCTCATTTCCAAAGCAAGATATACTTCGCGTATCTAGCAGAGTACATATTCAGCAAGTCTTGAAGGATGAATTTAAACCACGGTCTACAGTATACTTTTTAACTATTTTTAACCCCAAAGCTTCATAAAGGACTATAAAAACATAATGCTTCTCCATGTCGTGCT